GCGCCATCAACCATTGTCCATCTTCCAAGTCAGTTTTCTCATAGGAACTCATGGTGAATGAAAATTTGATTTTCCGTGCCAAAATTCATGTCACTGTTTTGTCGAAATAGACTTTTCAGTTTTTTACTATTCTTATTTCAAAGATTTCTTGGCCATTTTATAAGCTAGAGAACTCCGATTGGATTTAAATTGAAGAGAACATTGCTCTCTACGATTTATTAGAACTGGATTCTTCAGTTTCAACTTACTTCTTGAAAAAAGGTGAGTTTTTTCGGTAAAGGTACCTCTAATCTGTCAGATTTTTTAAGAGAAGCTTTCACCATAAGTAAAAAAAAGCAAAATTTTACAAAACAAAAAAATCTGACCTTATTTAGTTATAGCTACAGATCTTAGTTACATTCTGACATGGGCCCGAAATCTATATCATGAGGTTTGGAGAGAGATCCTTGTAAGATGGAAATCTACTTTTGATTATTTATACAATGATAAATCTTGAAAAGCTCAATATTTTGAACTAAAATTTTTATTGTAGACTATACACACCTGGACACATTCTCTGAAAGTTTTAATCAGATCTTTTTCTTTAAGGCAAAATTAAATTTTTTAGTTGAAATGAACCTTGAGTAGGTATAGATTGTAATGAAGTACTGATAGATAATTCTACAAGCGCATTTGATGTAGTGATCAATTAGAAGTAACGAGCTTCTCAGGTGTTCTGCTGAGAATTTGAAAATAACCTTAGAACCATAGAAATAATTACTAGGGAAGTAGATGCCATTCGTTGATTCACATAATGCTGCTTATAAAATATTTTTTCATTCAATCGTTCAAAACTAAAACTAATAGAAGTTTATTGATAATTCAATTATATATCTTCTGACATGAAAGTTAAGATCATGAATTGTTTCTCTGCTCGAATATTTTCAAAGGAAATAATATTAGAAAACTTCATCCATGACAAGTTAATCATATCGAACTTTAACTATATTTACTGCTTGTTTCAGAACAAAGCCCATTGAAATCTTCTTCATTCTTTTCGATAATTTGAACATTGAAATTTCAATGTCTTGTTTTAATTTATGCTGCTATTATTAATTATAGACATCTGTTTTATGGAAAATACAATTGAATATATTGTTTCAATAATGAAAATCCAAATAGAAAAACGAAGAAATTACAATATTTTTCAGTAATACATTTATCAATATTTTCAATCACAGATGTGTCTATTGGCAATTGACACTCTATTCATTTCAAAGTCATTGTTGATAAACAACTGTTTGACAAACATAATTCAGTTATAAAAATCACTATGCTCACGCAATATGTCATACACTATAATAATATCAACGATACACTTCAATGATCAAATTTTGACATGTGTTCAAGAGTTTCACAAAAAAAAAGAGAATGTCTATTAGAAATATCAGTTGAATGTAATTTTACCATGTACGTTTTAAACGTATATAAAAAAGACATGGTACATTTGTTTCAAACATTAATTCAATTTCTACAAAGTTTCTTTTAATATTTATTAAAAGAAACTCGAGAGTATTCTACATTGTATTTCCGACATCATTCTCTTATGGTTTTTTTTTAGTACTTATTATGTAATAATATCCTTTATCTTATGTCATAATATATCAATTGATCAAATTGTGATATATATTATATTTCTTTAATCAAACAAACTAACTGTCAATATGATTTCTATATGACCAAGAAATTCTTATTCATCTCATATTTTTAAGTAAATTTATTGAGTACAATATTGTTTCGTTAACTTATTAATGAAAGTGACGGTTTAGTTTGTCTAATGCTTTTTTTTTCTTTGATTTTCTATAGAAGAAAAAAAGAACGGCAGACAGGCAAGCAGACTGTGATGACTCTACTTCACCGCCTTCTTCTTTTGTCTTTTTATCATAAAAAATGACTAAGTAATCCGTTTAAAATAGTCATAATGGTCACAATTGATGTCGTCAGTTGTAAACGATGAGTAAAAAAGCGGAAGCAATAATAATAACTAATGTCATCTTAGTCGTTTCTATTTAGTATAGTTTACAAATTAGTCAATATGTAATCAAACTATAGATTAATTTTTTATGATATAAAACAATATATACATATATGTATATGTTGATATTTAACTAACGGTATAAGTTTGACATGAATGACGTCGTCTTCGGCTTCATTCAATATTTACTTATCAAACTTAATGCGTCTCAAACAATAAGTCACAATGCTTCGAAGGAAATTTTCATTGAAATAGGATGAGAATGTTGACAAGACATACGTGTCTGACATTCGATCGAATCATTTTCCATAAAGATTTATTGAGAAAAAAAAAAAAGAAAAAAAATAATTTAATAAAATCATAAGATTATTTGAATAACGAGTATTATTTATTGCATCATGGTCATTTTGTTGGTATAAGTATTCTCAAGAGTCTCGTTCATTCACTATGTGTATGCGTGTCGAAGTGAGCAATAGACCATAAACGAAAGATTAATCAATGTGGCACCAGAAGTTGTATAAAATATGGTACGCACACACGAACGGCTATTGTTCACACAGATGAACTTTCTCACTAACATTCACTGGTTTGTTTTAATGAGTATACCTTTTCTTTAGTTCAAAAAAAGCAAATGTTTGAAAAAAAAAGAAAAGAAAGAGAGAGAGAAAAAACATCTAGAAAAGAAACTATATTCATATATATATATGTTCATTTTCTTGTATGGTAATCTTCTATTTGGAAATAACACCTTTCTGTTTCTTTCTCTCACCAACTTAGCATTGATCTAGAATAGTTATCATATGTCTAAATAATATGAATGTATGCATGTGCGTGTGTTGAGTTTATTGTTGATAGTATCATTATTTCTCATGGTGATATATGATAGACAGAGACACTTGAATGCAATGATGATTTGCTTCGACGAGCATAAATGAGACTCACTTTTATAAATCGATTTGATCATTATCAAAATTATTTCGAACATTAATCGATATTGAACTTGTTTCCATTTCTTCTTTTTCTTTTCTTATTTGTTAGCAATATAGATATATATATAGATATATATTTATATTTATATAATCATAGTTCGCTTCTCTTTACCTTGAGATATATCATTACTAATTTCTTTATTATTAACAGTCTTTCGTTTTTTTTTTCTTTTTTATCAAACCTTGGCATAAGTTATGCTTATATGCATTTGTTTGTTCAAATATACACACTCAACAGCTTGTATAGCTTAAAAGCTGCATCAGCTTGTACGTATACTATTGATATAGAAAAGAGGTATAAGGAAGGACAAAAGTGATTATCATTTTCTATTTGATTGTAGATTGGCAGTTAACTGTTTATCATTGATCAACAGATGACTGTTGGATTGTTGTCGACAATACAAACATATAGCGAAAAAAGAAAAGAAATACTTGAGAAATTGAAATAGCAAATAGTAGTATATAAAACGAGTATAAATTAATCATAACTGAAGACAAGAATGTGAGATGGATAAACGAACGTGAAAACGGCTATTGCTTTAATCACACTATTTTCTTTTTATAAATGACTTTGATTTCTTTTCTTTTTCTTCTTCCTTTTATAAGCACATCTGTTCGGCGACAAGGTGTGACGGACGACTTTTTAGAATTAGTACCATCTCATTCATTCATTCACGCATTCTTTTTTTTTTGTTTCTATGTCTCCCTTTTTTTTCTTTTCTCTTTCTCTTTCACACTGTCTTTGCACCAGCACACACACACACACACACACAACAAATGACATTATTATATGGGCATTTCACAGTCTACTCGCAATGTGCATAAACTATATTTGTGCTCAATATTGTGCATACACATCTAACGATATCTTCTATCTATCTTTCTTAGTGCTATATGTTTATAACAGTAGCAGTTGAGTCCTGTCCCTATGTAAACACTAGCACGAATCTATCCTACTAAGAAAGAAAAAAAAATACAATGAAGACTAGCGCTTATTGAGGTAATCATTCAACAGAAGTGCACAGAAGAAGAGATTAACTTACTGATCTCTATCTCAATTGCTATCCTATTCTCTTTAAATAAGCTGCGTGTTGTATATGTATTATGTATATGCATTACTCTTCTTCTACATCTTAACGAAAGACGTAAGTGTTCGAATTGTGTTCATCATCTTGTGTAATATTAAACGAGAGTTATATCCCGCTTGGTTAACTAACGAATATTAATCAATATGGCACTGCTAAGAAAAACTCACTGAGCATCTTTTACTTTTTTTTTTTCGATCAGATGTTGTGTAAGATACAGAGAGCCGTTCTATATGGTCACACACACATGCACACTTTCTTCTTCACTATATTAGATTGGAGAGTCATCACTTCATTACTAGAGGCGATTGCGGCGGCACACGTGTATGTTGTCTTCTATAAGCTCTTATCACCATATTGAGTGAATAAGAGAGAAAGCGAGAGAAAAAGAGACAGCTCAAAGGCCAATTCACACTATATCAGTGTTCATTTGCTGTCGTCTTTGTCGTATGCGTTGAGGTTTGCTAATTTTGATATTTGACAATGATTTCTCATTTGATTTTGATTATGAACGATGAATAAGTATATTTATATCAGTAACAATCAAATTATATCTTCATCTCGCTTTTTTTCCTTTTCTATGCGTCAATAGTTAATCAATTCAAGGTACTCGACTAAATCAAGCCATTATTAGGTAACACATCATTTGAAGGTTTTCTGTCTTGTTTCTCTTTGTGATATCTTCAGCCTTTCTTTCTTTTTTTTTTTATATGTATATGCACATTTTGGAAGGACACGATATGAGATATACATACACACAAATCTGCACTACGAGAGCGATTGTATATTGAGCGCGTGCGTGTATACATATGATAAAATCGCCACACACATACACATACAGATGTTAATCGAAGAACGCCTTTCGATTGCCATTCATTTTATTCATTTACTTTTTCTTTTAGTTTATTTAACATGACTGCCACTTATCGTCTACAACTGCCGTTACTCATCATCACATATGTCATATTCTCATCTATAACAATAGTTGCTAAAGCTATTGCATACGGTAAAATATCTTGTATGATTTTTCTTATCTCATATAATTGTTTTCTTATTTTTGTCTTTTCAAAATATTAGCTAGTCCAAAAATTAATCAAAAAATTCTTATTGGACCAAATGATATCAATGCATATCCAGGTGAAACAATTCAATTTCCTTGTATTGTTTCAAAACAATCCGATGCTATTGTAACATGGTGTTGGAATGATTTTTGTACATTAGGTAAAACACAATTATTACGATATGAAAGAATTGATGATAGTTTAATAAGTATTTATCAATATACGGCTTATCCAAGATTTCAATTATTAATCAATGAACGTCTTAGTATGTATTCTATAGGTTTTTTTTTCTCACATAAAAACATCTATTACTTCAAGATTTTTTTTTTCTTTTTCAATTTCTTCCGGTAATTTTATTCTACTAATTATTTTCTTTTTTATGAGCATTGTCTAGTGAAATATGACCAATATGAGTAGGATAGGTTCTACCACCTAGTGTGTACGTGTAATGAAAAAGTAACACATTGTCGTTTTTTTTTCTCGTTTTACCGGAAGTACACATTATTCTTGATTATAGTCGCTATTCTTTCTGTCTAGTTGCTAATTATTGCATCGAAGTTTTCTTTTTTTTTTTCGTCTCATCTCATTGACCCGTCAATTCCATTGTTGTCTTCTCAGGAGAGCAATTGAAGAAATGGACAGGAAGTTTTTGACAAAAATGGACGACGAACTAGTTAGACATATTTCATATGTATATGTGTCTATTGTTCTCATCAGGAAATTGAATATAGTAATGTGCAATACATAAAAAAAAAAGAAAGTGTCGATATGTGATCAATATTTGATTGACTTTTTCGACATAATCTGTCCGGAAGCAACACATAAAGGGAAAAAAAAATTCTATGACGTAATCTTTACAGGCATAGATTATCCTTGACTAAAATAAACGATTTAGTCATTTTCTTTTTTTCGTTTAGATCACTATAATTTGTCAATTGTTCATGTGTCAAATAAAGATGAAGGGATATTTCAATGTCAAGTGCAGAGAACAATGAATGCACATGAAGCACGCTCCGAACGTGTTCATTTAACTCTTATTGGTATGTGAAATACTTGAGACAGATTTTTTTCTTGTCTATTGACCTTCTTTCTTTTCCTTTTTGTTTTGTTCCTGTTAGCTCCACCGGATGGTCAACCAACATTGATACTACCTAATATGCCATTAAAACAAGGTCAATCAGCAAATATAACTTGTTTATCAACTCCATCAAAACCGGCGTCAAAATTAATTTTATATAAAAATGAACAAATAATAACAAAAAAATCATCATTAATGATTTTCTATGAATTAGATATGTTAACAAAAAAAAATGTAACAAAACTTGTTTATATTATTGATGATCCAGATAGTAGTTGGGATAATGCACGTATTCGATGTGAACAAATTTATCAATATGCAAATAATTTTCATAAAGATATTTCAACAAGAATACATGTTCATTGTGAGTTTTGTCATTATATGTGAATTGAAATATATATATATCTTAAGTGAATCATTTCAAGTGATTTTAAATTGATATTATCAATGAAAATCGATCTTGATGAGAGACATAATGCATAGAGCAAAATTTGTTTAGTTTGATTGAAATGCACTATCGTTCATAGTAGAGAACAGACATATGCGACACCATGGGAAAGAGAAGTTGCTGAAACTAGAACCAAGACTATAAGAAGATGGTTGATTCAACTCGCAACTAAAGACATTAGTTAAATATTCTATGGTTTTTAAACGAATTATCTTATAAATCATATCAATGAGAACATAACTCAAGAGAGATAACCCAAAAAAGTACTAGTTGTTGACTAAAAAAAAAATCAAAAAACAAGTATTGAAGAATTTTTTTTGGATATGATACGAATATATCCTGGAGTGATTCTCTTCAAATTGGGATTCAAACCCAAAAAACTCAACCCTTCGGTGCCGAGTTCAGGATCAGAGCCACCAGAAAATAAGATACCGGTGCCGAGATTAGACCAGATCTATCGAGACCAAAAAAACTTAATTCTGCACATCTCTAATGAAAAATCATAACTTTTAAAACACATTAAAATGTTTCTTTCGTCTCGAATCTTTTCAATATACTCAATGAATATATATTTCAATATTAATTTAGATAAACCAAAAGCTCGTATTGAATCTCAAAATCGTTATCCATTAACAGTTAATTCAACAGCAACTTTTCGTTGTATTGTTCATGGTAATCCTGAACCACAATTGAGGTAAGAATAAATATTTTTGAAGAAAAAAAAAGTTAATTTCTATTGAATAAAAACAAAAAAAAATCTCTAATAGATGGTTTGCTAATTCAATGGATTTAACATCATTAACAAGTTCGATAATAAATATTCCATTATCAAGACATGTACATAATCATTCAATTGGTTGTACAGCAATAAATTCAATTGGTACAACAAATACAAGTATTCGATTATTAATTCGTTGTATGTTTAGAAAATTCTTATGAAAAAAATGATTCTTTAATATATTCATATTTAATAGATTCTCCAATATTTATTGTTCGTCCACCAAAATTTGTTGTTCTTGATTTTGATGATAAATCACCAACATCAAATCCTATGATACTTCGTTGTATAGTTGATTCATTTCCTCGTTCGAGGATTTCATGGTATCGTTATGGACAAAAATTAGCTGAAGGTTCATTATTTAATCTTGAAAATATAACAACACGCGAACAACAAGGAATATATTCATATCGTGTTGAAACGGATGGTTTTGAAACACTTTATAATGATTTTATTATTTATATAAAAGGTATTCATATTAATTAGAAAACAAAAGAGAAAGAAAATTATTTTCTTCATTTTAGGTAAACCATTAGTTTATATTCAAGAATCTAAACAACATTATTCATTAAATATTCGTGAATTTGAATGTCAAGTTTATTCATCAAGTTCAATTCTTGTATGTTTTAATTTGAATCAAATTTTATATTTCATTATATTTATTTATTTAGAAAATAAGTTGGAAATTAAATGATCAATCAATTGAATCAACTGATCAATCATTAATATCAACAACATGTGATAATCATAGTTGTTTATCAAAATTAATTTATAATAATCGAAAAATATTTTCATCAACAAATAATCTTAATCGTTTATCATGTATGGCTGAAAATGAATATGGATATGAACAAAGTCGTCTTTATCAAATTAATTTAGATGAAGATCCATCAACAATTTTAATATCGATTATATTAAGTATATTTTTTCTTCTCACTATTTTATCAATTGTTGCTATCTATTGTGGTTGTCGTGTTCGACATAGACGAAAACGTTCAAGTAAAAAAAGAATATAGATCTTTTTCTGTTAATTTTTCTATAACAAAAAAATGTCCCCTTTTCTTTTTTTAGTCAAAAATCTTCCAATTGTTTATGATGCACATTATTCAATAAATGAATTAATCAAAGATGTTGCATCTTTACGAACATCTGATTTACGTACATGTAATCCATCATTCAATGATAATGATCAATTATCATTAAAAATTGAACAAACTAAAATTGAACCAACAGGTTGAAAAAAATTTCTTTTTGTTTTTTCTTAATTAAAAACTTCATGATTTAGATCATTTATTAACATCATTATTTAATAATAATCGTACAAAAAAATTAATGGATAATTTATCAAATGAATCATCAACAAATAGTTCGGGTTTTCATTCAAAATCTACAACAACAACATTTAATAATGAATATAGTCCTAGATTAGTTGAAACAACTGATTACACATTTTCAGGTATAAAGAAAATAAAAACTAATACTAACATATAACAAAATTCGAGAAGGCAAAAGATGAGATTATCTTCAAATTAAATCTCAAAGATGGAATCGGTTCGTGATTTTTTTGCAAGGAGGAGAGAAACCGAACAGATTCTGTGTTTGTCAGGCTCTTATTATGATTAACAAACAAATTAAAGTTTGATCAGAAGTGTTCCAGTTCAAAGAATTTGAACATTTAGGTTAAACACTGAAAAACAGATCAAAGTTGAAAATTTTAAGAAATTAGTTATAGATTCGAATTTCTTCGATCAAACTTTATGAAAAATCATCATTATATAACAACAGACTTTTTTTTTCTGACGGAAAAATTAAACACATAAATTTTCCATTACTAGTTACGTGGCAATGCAATTAGCAGGTAATAGTGAGCTTTCTCTTCCTCCTATGTTTCATATTATTCTTTTCATCAGCATTCACTAATTTTAAAGAATGTATTTCTATTCAGATGTGAATTCGTGAAGTCATATTCGCATCCTGAATATATAATATGATAGAATTAAAAAATAACAAATCATTTTTTTTTATTTTTTAGGTATACCTCCATTATACACATCACAATATCAGATGAACGTGTGATAAATACTTACTTTTTCTTTTTTTTAATCTTCTGTGTCAGATGTATTTTATTTGTTTAATTTGGTTTTTCTTGTTTTTGGTGTTAATAAGATTTCATTAGATCTATTATCATCAATTTTAACGAATATAAGACGATCGCGTATTATTTTAAATATTGTATATGAACTATTTAATATAAGTAACGCACTAATTAAACTTTTATACTACAATTTACCACGTATAATCCAAAATACTTGATAAAGAGGATTGGACAAATACAAATACAAAATATATTCTGGTGTAAATATTATCTTTATAAATCCAGAATTTGAGAATTATTTTCATCAAACTCATCCGTTCAACTACACTTATAAAATGTTTCAATAATCTTCGTATGCCATGAAATACAATCAAAATGAATTTCTATCAAGAGAGAACAAGCAAGACTTCAGTACTCCGAAGTGTGATGAAGTACTGTACTTCATTCGTACTTCGAAGTACTGAAGTCTCGCCTTTTTTCTCTTGATCTCCATGTATTTGTCTGTTGATAAATATAAAATACATATAACTGAAATATGATATTCAAGCCTTGTGCTATCAGATACTGTAATGCACTCTCATCATCCTATGTACTAGGTGTGAATGAAGAGAAGATCACCACCCACACTCAGTACATAGAATGATGAGAAAGCATACCTTATTGATAGAAACACATGAGTCAATGAAATTACAAATTGTATTTGTATCAGCATAGCTCTGTAAAATTGTATGCGATAATGATTGAGGATATGCAGCATTACTGGAATATTGTAGAGAAATAAAATATTTATCATTATTTAAAGACAATTTATTAGTATTATCACGTACATATGAATTACATTCTGATAATCATTTATTGATTGTAGATGTGTTCGAATGAATGATTGTAAACACTATTGATCGAGATGATCTGCTACATGATATATTTGATTGAATACTATTGATTTTTATTGCTCCTTTATTGACAAATGCAGACAAGGATGAAGTTTATCTATCAGAACTTTTAGTTTTTTAATTTTTTCCTTGTGGATATTATTGGAATTAGAAAGATTTATTAAGATTATTTTTATGTTTGAAAATAAATAGAAAAATTTCTATAACAAGAAATTATTGTTTTTAAGAAAAAATATTCTAGTGATAAAATTCGATATGTTTTATTTGAATCAAATAGGAATTCTAAATATGTTCTACTGCTAGTCTTTAGACGATCTTTAGAAAATATTGCAAAGCAGTAGCTTTGTTGTTTTTATTTTGTAATAAAAAATTTACTTAGCTAACTGACGTCAAAATCTCGATTTTCTAATGAAATAATGGTTCATTCAGTGCATCTTCATCTCTATCTTTTCAGAGTGAAGTATACACATCTTTATCTTATTGAATATGACAAATCAAATATTTAACCAGTAGTCTTTCTCACGTTTCGTATACTCTTTGTCCTTGTCAGTCGTTTTTTCTCAATTATCATCGTATTTTACACACCTTAGATTTACGTATACATTTTTTTTTCGTATGAGTATATTCTGTCTCTTATTTATTTTTGCCGTTCGATGTTTTACATGTGGGTTCAAGTTATTTTAAGCGAATGACGTATGGCTGATTACCTAAGTGCCTTATTCTATTTTCGTTCTAGTCACAGCACAAATACAAATTATACTGAGTATTATGCTAAACTTAACGACTTATAAATTGTAAAGATGAAATAAACAAATATTAATCTATTTTAAGAAGATTTTGAAAAAGACATCAACTAAATTGATATCAAATGTGATAGTAAAATTTCTTATCAAACTATTTTAAAAAAATGATTAAGTATTGAAATTCCTAAAAATAATTTGTTCTTCGTATTTTTTTTTAATGACAAAACTGATGTTTTAAACAAAATTCTTAAGAAAAATAGAACTATCTAGTTATTTACTCTTCCCATCATTTTAAATAGAACTAGATCGACAAGAATAAACAAAGTATATGTTCAGTAAAATTCAAGTACAATTGGTCTGCTTGTTGTCTTATTTATGCATAGAGTATTGAATATTCATATACATACAGCTTTTATTCTGTTACTGATAATTATTAAGAAGATAATATCAATACTGAGAATGACGAATTCATAATTAAATGTTACTTTTCGAGGTTACATATATGTTAATGATTAATAACAAAGATTATTTATTAGATTAATTGTCAATGTCAATGACATCAAAGCAAGTGAAGTGGAATAACGATGTTGTTTACAGATTATATTCAATGTTGTAAATGATTGATTACATAAATCAGTCGATAAACCACGAAATAAATTTGTTTTATCAGAAAAAGTGTTAACAAGATAAAATAAATTAAGACAACGAAGAAAACTGTTAATATCAAATTATGTGTAATAAATGTATGAAAAAATAAAGTCAAACAATAAATGCAAGATAAAGAATACTAATTATTTCGATTAATAATAAATTCAGACTATATGATTTGGAGGGAGGGTGGTGGGGGATAGGGTGATTGCCAGTGGAACAGATTGCCTATGTAAAAGTAAAGTTCTGTTTGCAATTTTTTAAAGAAGACCAGTTATTTTCTCTTAAAGAGAAACTGAATCAAGTCATGTTTTAAAGAGTAATATATTTACAAGATAGATGGTAAGACAAATGTCAAAAGTATGGTTTGATCATCCATATATATCTAAAACTCATTTAATAGATATGACAGAATACTATGTGCGAAATTCAACTCAATATCTTATAGTTGAATGGTTTAAATTATATCAAATTTTAACACTTTTACTAGTTGAGCCCAATGAATATGCAACGAAGTTAAAGCACATTACACAACGAATTAAAACAAAACTGCGTAATAGTTTCTTATTAAAAGCGTTAGAGACAGCTGTCAAATTTCGTATATCAAAATCAACGGTTGCGAAAATGATTTCGATGATATCGTAAGACACTTTTTATGCATCTAGAACGAGCAAAAGCTCGCAATATCAAAATATATATGAACAATAGACAAAATGCCCATAATTATTAGGAAGAATATTACTTTTAAAACTATTCGTGTGGATAGTTTTTGTATGTAGTAAAAATTTATTTGTTTTCATTGATGAGAAATTTCGTTAGGAGTTTTCTAACACGAGAAATAGTGACTAAGGAAAAAATGCTCACGATTGATAATGAGAGTATGAAAATTTCTAGCTGAGAATATCTTTTTCTGAAAAAAAACTAATGAATGAATAGTTTCTCTATAGTTTTGGGAGACTTTCTTCCTTAATTCTTTCTCTCTTCTAAACAGAACTAAACGAAAGCTATGAATAAACTTAATCGATTACGTCATTGTTGATTTCGGTGTACATGTAAAGATACTTTTCTTTTTCTAATGTTTATATAAATGCAGTAACTGACTCAATTGAACTAACGTCAATTAAAATTATATAAATATGAATGTTTATTTAATGTACATTTATTGTTGGTTTAATAACATAATCATGATCATTTGAAATAGCAATAAAAGAGTTCGTTTATATTCAATGTTTTCAATTGTTTGAATGAATTGAAATATTTCATTTCGACATTTAGCTGGATTTTGACTAGAAACATCAGCATAATATAAAAAGAATATAAATAATATTTAAATAAATTAAATTTTGTATAGTATAATGTACAAACAATGCATAAGATGACCATCAAGTTGCATAGCAGATATTTCTTGAGGAAATCGACTAGATAATTCTATTTCAACATCACGCACTAGTTAACTAATTATTCTTGTCATTTTGTTTCGTAATATTTTTTCACGCATTCAATAAATATTAATATAACTTATTGTTGATGATTGTAAAAATGATGTGAATTAAACATTGTTTGTTATTGGCTTTGATGAAAGCTAACAAACGAAATTATTTGTTGATTTTGAATTGTCCCGGTATCAATGATGATACAAACAGCGAATAGTTGATCATCTACGTAGTTTTGATATATATTTATAAATAAAGTACGACATAATGATGTGTGTATGGTATAATCAATGATTAATTTATTCAATACAGTTAAAAATAAAAGAGTATCAACGAAATATTTTTAATAGTTGATAAATAAGTCAAGTGAATGATGATATAATTTGATTTTTTTTATCCTATGTTCAATGTGATTGAAAAGTATGAGAGAACCAACTGATTTATTTCCTGTAGAAATTGATGATCGACCGTTGTTTTGTTTTGTGAAATTCATATGTTTGACGAAGGAAAATACTGAATATAAGTTATAAGGCAAGATTTTCCAGGTCGTCCCCTTTTTCATGATAACCAGATTCAAAACATGACGGTGAAGATATAGATCAATGATCTTAACACCTCTAACAGTCAAAGCAATGCTGACAAAGGCACTCGTAATCAGCTTTAGCAACCATGGTCAAAGGTCAAAGATTAGGTTAACATAGCAACCAAGGACACCGGGTATCATACTCTTTTTCTATAGTTCCTTAATAGCAGAAAAAAGGTCATTAATAACAAAGCTTAGACGATTTGAGAGTGCTCTAAAAGTTTTCCTTGAAATTCAGATGGCTGGAATACGTTTATGAGTGTTTGAAATAGCATACTTACTGATTTTTGTGCAAACGGTCGATTATATTATAGATATCAAAGATGAGAGTTAGTGATGTTTTGATTTACGACATTTGTCATATGGCTAGTACTAAAAATATGCAGCATTCAAGAAAAAACAAAACCAATGTTGCTGAAGTTATCGAAACATCTAATAGTACTTTGCGACCTGCGGTGGATATAATAGATGTATATCACAGGCTTATTTGTCAGTTAAATCAATAATTAGATTAATAATAATAATAGTGGTAGATTAAGAAAAATGAAACAAACAAAAAAGAAAATAAATAACGAGTAACTAGCCATACAACAAATAAAAAACACTATAAGAAAAAAATTCTATTCGAAATGCAAAAATAAATAAGACATATCATGTGTCTGACGTTCGATTATTCTTAGAAAGAAACTTTCATCCATTAGAGATTTTTCACTTAACATATTTTAATAAAGATTAAACTGTAATATTAATTGACATTTGTTTTAGAATCATCTACAATATTACTTAATAGGTCAAACGAATAGACAAAAGCTCTATTTTGTATGATTACAATAGTCGAGTTGATTGTAGAACAATCGTTTATCTATGATGTCATTCAATTTTCTGTCTCGACACTACAACTACAGTGTTACGTTTTGATAATTTTCACTGTTGTAAATACAATAAGTAATTAATAGTAGTTTTTTTCAAATTGAGTCATGACAAATTATCCATAATATCTTTCGAATAGGTACAATTATTTTTCTCTATATTTTGGCATATTTATTTCGTTCACTCATTATTCTATTTCTTATATTCAAGAATACAAATCTATGTAAACATACTATATTGTTCAGGTTGATTGTAATAACATTAAAGACTATCCTAGGTATTGTGTTTTTCTTTTGCAATATACTTAACCGACAATTCAGAATGATAAATATATTTGTTGAAAGCCATATCTAACAAAGAAATTTATTTCTGATATAAAAGAATTTTTTTGTATTCATTAGTAAATGATCGATTATGTAGTTTCTCAATTCAGATGATATACATTAGGATTTCCTTTCTTTTACGAATATAGGATACTTTCTCAAAGAATAACATGCCTAATCGATATTGATGAGTCATAAACGATTTTCGTTGATAAAAATTCATCGATGACTTATGAAAGTATCTTCACTAACCACTATACTATCATGACTATTATTGTGCTGATAATCGCATTAATTATAAAGAAATATTTCCATAGCAAATTACATTTAGAAAAAAAAATATGCATACAAATCAACGTTTATAACATTTAACAATATAGATTGATCTCACTGATTCGGTCTGTCAAAAACATGTGACGAACACATATGAGAAAGTAATACAAGATATAATCAATGAGAATCATCTGTTAATCAATCTCATTTGAAATATAAACGAAATTAAAAGTGTCGAAGTCAAAATGGCACTATTGACTTTATTATCGATAGTTTTTGAAATTTTTGTTTGATTATAGTCTTTTTGATGATATACCACATTATCCTTATAAACAAATTAATAATATATATGATATCTCATCAGATTGATTCACATTAATATATATATATATATGAAAAATATTTCATATTTCATATAGAAAAAAAAATTTGTGACTTCCTTACGAATTAATCATACAATGCAGACAATCTTCAAATAATTGTCTGCTGTTTAGAGTTTTGCGATAAAAGAAAAATTCATTATCACATGCTACTCTTACTCATGCATCATCTTCACATTTACATAAAAGATATTTTATTCTCAATATAGGAGACTTCACAGAATATGTAAAGAAAAGGTGAATATGAAAGACGATGTATCTATATATGTTGTATAGCTTTCAATATCGTCTTTTTTTTTCTCATTTTCTCTACTTTTCATGAATGTGTAATTTAAGTGAGCGTAGGCGAAGAAAAATGGTGTTTTGTTGATTATAGGTAAAGACTAAAAAAAAGAAATCTTTCAATGAAAAAGAAAAAGAAACGAACGAACAAATACAAAACGTCGTATTCTCATCTACTGAAAAGACTTCATTTTTTTTTGTCGACATTATCTATTATTCCTGTATTATGGCTGTTTGTAACACTTTTTTGACATTGTTATTACTGGCTCTTCTTTCACATTCAATCATCGCTCAAAATAGTATAAGACTTGAAGGATTTGACTTGTATTTTCGAATATTGTTTTTCCTATTGATGTTCTTATACAGACACCGACACTGAACCTAGTGAAGAATTAAGCACTCCATCATCAATATCGCCACAAACAACAACTGATCCTTGTCCATGTAACTAAACATCTTTCTTGTAAAATTTACTTTTGTTTTGTTAGACCCTGCTTACTTTAACTTATTCAATAATGGCGCATGCATTTCTCGATCAGTCTACACAGGCATTTTTTTAGCAAGTATCATTTTGGCTGGTATCTCTTTTCTTTTACTCATTGTAAGTACTTTAAATAATATTTCCTGTATCAATACATTGTCTTTCTATATGATCAGGTTTTATGGACATTACTCTGTTTTCGACGTTTCAGACGTTCTCGTTCGCGTAATATCCCTGATGATGAAACAGGTATTTTGAGCAGTAGTAAGAATGAAAGAGATAGATTTTCGAAAACTCAACATGGAAATCAAAGGGGTAGTCAAAATCTGAAGGCTAAAACAAGAGGTAAGTAATTTGTTTCAGTTTTTTTCTTTTATAGTCATCTTAAGAAAGAATTCTTCTAATTCTTCGCTACGATTTTATGTATTAAAAAAAAGGAACAGTTTTAGACAGATTTCTAATAGTTAAGTCATAACTATTAAAAAATATATCATTAATAAATGAAATAATGTAAATCATTATAGAATATTTTTATCTGAACAGTGACTGACACAGTTTTACTCGAACAAAAAGTGCAAGGGATGTACGAGGCCAAATATTTTACTTCGGATCCCAGGGCAATTTCGCTTTCGATAAGTTCTTTTCTAGTGATGCTGCCTATAGTTTTAATAAATCTAGTCTGATCTCGGTCCTGGTCTAGAGAAAACCATTCCAAAATTTATTCGTATCACATCCAAAAAAAACTTTTCAATACTAATTTTTTTTCTGATTAACTTAATCAACAACTAGCATATGTTTTTGAATTATTTCTCTTGAATTATGTTCTCATTGGTATGATTTATAAGATAATTCGCTTGAAAACATAGACTATTTAACTATAATCTTTAGTTCCTATTGGGATAACTTCTTTGTGATTGTTCCGATGCCGGCACATCTTTTTCTTGTAGTACTGGTTCCGGTTCCGATGACCAGGACTGAAACTAGAACTAAAATTTGGTCCCGCACATCTCTTCTAGACAGCACATAAACATGCTACTCAATCTTCTTCTAATAACTATTATGCTATTGCAGACAAACAACCATCACCATCCACATCATCTGCTCCTTATACAACTGTAGAACCCATTACTAAGCGACCACATAAGACGCGATCAAGAGATGTCAATCAAAAGCAATCTGATTCTCATGAAGTGGTGGTTTCTAAATCAACTAGCAAGACATCTAGTGTTAATCCTCGTCCTCCACCTTCATCTCAACCTCGCAGAATAGCTGATCAAGAGGGTCGTGGTCATAGAGATCGCAAAAAAAATAATTTTACCAATGACAACACAACAGCAGCAGATTTATAATCAAAAATTATTATATTATGCTTGCTCTTTATTCTTCTTTAGTCATTGCAAACAAGAAAATTATCTAGTAGGATTATCAATATTTGAATTAACTGCTCAAATTTTATCGATTGAACTTTCTTTTTTTTTCTTGTCTTTTTTGTGGACAAAAATATATATAAATACCAAGACTAATAAATTGGTTTTTTTTCATCCTGATTATTTAAAAATAATTGCTCACACACACAAAAAAAAAGAAAACAACATGTACGTGCAAAACAAAAATTAAACGTCGGTCGCAAGTTTACTTCCACAATTATTAGCTCTAGTATTTGTTTGATAAAATGAATTATGAAAAGATTGTTCTTGTCCTCGAAGATTATTTGTTGGTGAAATATATGATCGTTTATTAACTAAACGATTATTCATAGGTAATCGTTTTTGTTCAACATCAGAGACAGTTTCTAATGTCAAACCTTCCATATCAGCAAAACGAACACGTTTTTTTTCTATTAAACGATCACTTGATTGACTTCGTGCAGTTGAACGAGTCCATGCATCACCTTGTTGTCTATAATCATCATCAGTTTCAACAACAAGTTGAGCTCGATGATAACGATTATTATTTGTATTTCGTCGTTGAATTAATGTTGATGGTGATGATGAATTATCATCAGAAAATGATTCACCTGTTACATTTCGAGAATAATATTCATTATTACTATTATTTGATGGTGATCGTGTTAATACAGATGCTAAACCATGACTTTCAGTACGTCGATTTGAAGAAGCAGGAACAGAATAAATTTGATTTGAATCTTGAATATCATTTTCATACATTGAATTTGTTCCAGTAAAATCTGTTGTAGGTAATTTTATTGAAGGATTTAATGTTGATGGTTGTATTCGAGTAAAATAACTTGTTAATTTTGATGCATTTGATTGATTATATGTTTGATCAGTAGGTGTCATTGGAAATGATGGTACAGTAGACATAGCAAAATCAGAAGTTTTAGGTGGAACTATTCGACGAGGTAATACTTGTGGTTGCTGTAATTGAGTTTGTGATGGTTGTACTAATTCAGCTGAAAATGAACGTTTTAAATCATAATCATCAGGAATAGAATCACTATAAGATGATATTGGTGATTGTGGAGTTCTTCGACGATCGAGTATTTTATCCGATGAATTTGAACGAATAGTAGTTGTTGATAATTTCATTGGTAATCTTAATGTAATTGATGATAAATCATCTCGTTCATCATAATGTCTAAATGTTGAACGAGATTGTCTAGTTGATTCATGTAAATGATTATTATTATTATTATGATTATTTATTATTGAATTAGTAGATAAATAAGGTGTTCTAAGTATACCATATCTATGGTCATGTGAATGTGAAGTACTTCGATTAACAGGATTATATAAAGGTGTTGATGGTGGTAATAAATTTGTTTGATGAGATTTTGTTATAGGTAAATTTTGAGATTTTTGCATAAGTGTACGACGATGTCGTCGTTCTTCTATACGCATACGTTCAAATTCTTCAATAGAAACATAAAATTTACGTCCATGACGATAGACAGGAACAGTATTTAATGCCATATTTATATCACGTAAATTCGACGATGAAAGTGTACGTTGTGGATATTGATGATGATGATGATGATGATGATGAGAATGAGGATATTGAGAATTTTCCAAATATAAACGATCCTATTTAAGATTAAGAAGAAAAAAATCTATGATTAAACTTGGAAGTTTATCGAACAGAATGAATCATTTTCTATCTGACGCATTTTTCCATTTAAATATAAAAATGAAAAAATACAAAACAAAACAACATGAGAAGCTTACAAGATGTGTTTGATTTTGTCGATCGTTATTTTCGTCATCTTCATTATCAGCACCTGATGATGGTCGCTGTTCGTGATTTAAATTAGCTGTTACCATTTAATTTATAAATATATGTGTTCAATAATATTTTAAATAAATCTAAACAAGTAAAAATAAATTAAAATTATAAACTTAATAATCTGATGATTAAATGTTTTCTTTTTCTGTCTTTCAAAAATTTTATCAATATTCAATATTTTTGTTACCGTCTTTTTTTCATATCAACTAATGTTTAAGGTTAATCGATTTCTCGTGCACATAAGCTTATGTATACCCAAAATAGGAACAAAAATGTTATAATGTAATATTGTTGTTGTTGTTGTTGCTTTCGTTACTGCTGTTCTGGTCGCATAATTTTGTGTTTTCATCACTCAAAAGGCAAGACAAAGAAAAACAATATTTTTTGATTTTTTCTCAATAATATTTATTGAAAGAAAAAAAAAATCTACTTAATCAATTCATAATGTTTAAGATCTATTGGTAGGTGACACTCGAATTCTTTCCTTTTTTTTGTTGTTGTGACTCTCGACTTCTTTCTGATGAATAACATGTTTACCTTACTATATGCGAAATATATATATATGTGATTGTATGACATAGAAAAAAAAACATGAGTCGTAAAAAAAATTGAAGGGAAGAAAAAGAACTGATGACAGTGACTCTTACTGCTGACTAACGTCAGCTAGTTTCGTAATCACTATGCAACAACGGGACCAACCCATCTTTCAGGGTCATGTCATTGCCGTTTTTCTTTTAAAGACACATGCATAAGAGCATGCATTCTTTTCAAAACTCTTCCCTAGGTTCTTTTTTCTTTTTATTTCTTTTTGTCTTGATTCTGTTCTGTTTTTTTTCCTCCTTCAACTTTCCATGTTGCAGTTGAAAAAAAAAAGTTTATATATATATATATATATATATGACTGTGGCACACTCACACATTTGCGTTGAAGCCCGTTAAAGAGAATACAAAGGATCAACTAAGAAAGTCTCCGATTTTTTTTTCTCTTATTCTCCTTCTTTCTCTTGTTACCTTTCCGTTCTTTACCAAAGATCGTAATAAATAAAATTATGCAGTCGTATGTGGGCTTTGACCTTGAAAGTTGTAGTGTGTTACGAGCAAGGTCAATTGTTCTTTCTTTCAAAGTTTGTTTCGCAATCGATCAATAATTGAGCAGGACAAGTTTACATGTAGATATTTGATGTGACAATAGTTTCAACTTCTATTCTCCTTCATCTCATAGATTTTGATATTGACATTTGAAGAAATAGAAAAATCAAATTATTTGGTTGAAATGAAAAAAAAAATGAACTTCTTTGTTCGCCTTATTCATTGAAACATTTAATAAGAAAATAACAAGTCTTGATATATGACTAGTGAAATTATATGGTTGTGAATCATTCTTAGTATTTCAAATTATTTAACACAAAAAAAAAAAAAAAGAAATAAATGTCATATGTATTAAGTTTGGATTAATAGTGATTTGGTAAATTTTGATAAAAAAAACGGAGTATGTTTATCTTGATAATCGAAATATTCAGTCACTTATTTTAAAACATTCTACTTGAGTATTTCTTTTTACACAGATGCGTTTTTGATGCATATAATGAAAATATCTGAAGCATAGGACACGATATTGTTCTATTAGATAAATAATGGTTAATATATATATATATATATATATAGAGAGAGAGAGAGAGAGAGATACATTATTTCTTCAACAGTAAATAGATACTTCTGTCACGATCAACAATATGAAATTACATCCTAGAAATATGTTAGTAGTAGGATAATTTATAAAAATAATTGGATATAAATGTCGGATGAATCAAGAATTTGTTGACATAATGATCAGCATCTTCATTCATTTTTGTGTGAATATACAATGGATGTCAAAATTATTCAACAAGATTTATTTACAATTTATTTCCGTTGGCGTAAGTCTTAGAAAGAATTCAAATAGTGATTCGAGTAGAAAAACTTGTTTCGAACAGAAATATAATGAAATAAAAATTATGAGCAAGTTCTCAAAGACAGAGACTCTAGACAATCAAAATCCTAGTTTTTTAGCACCTAGAGCGCGTAAATATAATATTGTTTACACTACATAGAACGATAGAGTAAACTATTCTTTACAAAATGAGATCTCTCCGAGTTTTCTGCAATGTTTTTTTTAGCTGAGATACAGCAATTTAGCGGAAATTTCTAAAGTTGCTTTTTTTTACTATTTCCTATAAAAAAAAGCCATCTTTTAACCTTCAATCATATTACTGTATACCGGCTAAAAATATATCACAAAGAACTCGGAGATGTCTTATTTTTTAGAGAATAATTTATTCTAGCGTTCTATGCAGTCTAAATAAAATTATACTGATGCGTCCTAGGTGCTGAAAAACTCGGACGTCGATTTTCTGGAGTATTCATCGTTGAAAATATGATAATAGTTTTTATTTCCTCATATTCTTTTCGAATATAGTTTTCTCTACTCAAATTACTATTTGGAATCTTTTTAGCCCTTACGATAGCAGAAACAAAAAATTGAAAATAAACCTTGTTGAATAATTTTGGTACTCACTGTATACAAGTTGAGCTATAAATAGTACTACAATACAAAATTGAAATATCTCCGCTTCAGTTCGCTCGATTGGTGAACTAATTTTTTGGTTAGTAGTACCAACCTATTCAAAGTTTTTCATACGAATAGATCTTTTGGACAAAAAAAAAAAGACCAACTTTCTTGCAAAAAAACCAATGTTCCATGTTTGCAAATTCAACATGTTGTAGTCGTTGACTTTTAAATTAACTGATTCAGCATCATTAATAAAGTTCGTTTTGATTTCTTCTTATTTTTCTCTTAGATGATTACTGAAAATCATCTATGAAATATTACACATGTATTTTTCTTACTTAATAACAAGTAAAATTACTTTCATAATACCAACAAAAATATTTAATAGTACTATTTACTTACCTTATCTGTATGACAAAAAAAAACTTTGAATAAACTTCTACTACTAACTAGAAAAATCAATCCATTTGATAAAACTAAAGCAGAGATATTTCATTTTTTTTTATTCTAGTGTTATTTATGATCTACTCTGTATATAGGTATCGGTTCGGTAATCAAATGAAGATATGTCGATAAAAAATAAGTTGAAAGTATAATAGTGAACAACAGGATATTTACGAAAATACTGTCGAATACAATTTATACGATGAATAAAATAAAAACTAATTGAATTTTTTCACACTTCAAATATCGTCGAAATTTAATTAAGTATCAAAAGTTGAATGTCTGACTCAAGGACTTTCGAATATCATCATTTATAAACTAGTCTTTGTGAACAATGATAAAATGTCGTGAGCTGATAGATAAAAGTAAATAATATAACTTAAAATGTCAACTATTGAGTGAAATAAGACCAAATCGTCTAGCTAAACAAATAATAATAATAACAATAATAATCAATGATTTTGAAGCAACATTTAATCATTTTATATATCATTTTATATCATAGATATGGTAATATATTGTCCGTCAATAATGTCTTTTTCTAGTGTTACTAATTTGACATCGTTGTTCGTTTTGACAATCGTCGATTTTATCATTAAGTTATTCAAAGTATATGCCGATAGTTTTTTTTTTTGTTATATGAGAATCAAAATTATATAATTTAATAATAAGACATGAAATAAATAGCGCCGACTTTTTCTTTATTGTAGATCGTACAAATCATATTATTCTTTCGTGTGTTATGATAATTATCTATTAAGTGAGACTTTTCATTCTTAGAAAATAGATTTCGTTAAACGAATTATCACGAAATAACTTACACTAATTTTTAGAACATACACATTAACAATCAAAATTATTGATGAAAAAGAAATAATATCAATTTGATACTTATTTCAATTTATGCATTTTTTTTTTGAAACACTTGAAAGTAGTAGAGCGAGTTCCAAAGATATACACACAAGAAAAAAAAACAGAAATTGTTTCTCCCATAGCTCAAGTGATGTACTTCAGCTTTTTTATAATTTCATTCAATGATCCTTAAAGTTTTATTTCATATAACTTCATCTATAATATCTATTCAAACTAATCTCAAAGAATTGAAACACAAAAGTACAATGGTTTCAAATATTTGAAAAAAACAAATATTACATAAAGTTTCTTTTGAAATCATTTTGTTTTCTTGATTGATTCTTATTATCAATTGAACCTATCTGTTAAGTAAACATATTGCAAATATTGTATTTTATATATTTCTATGTAAGAAAAACTCAAGTGATGTTAAGTTCAATGAATGTAGAATTCATCGAATTGAATTATTTATTTGAATCCTCATATGACAAAAAGTTTTATTTTATTGTAACATTCACTAAGCTCTCTCATAATTCTATGAGCTTGTAAATGAACTTTTACAATAGCCCAAACACATAATATCAAGTATACTTTTAAAAACAACATGAATCTCATCAACTTTTTAAATTTATTACAACTATAGTGCTTCCAGAATATGATCGATCTACTACCATATCACTTTCAAAAAAGTATTGAGAGATAGCTTTAATATCATCTGCAATGCCGTTATAATTCAATAATTAAATATAAATACATTTTATTTGAAACATGAACAACGAGCCAAAAGATGTAAGTGATCGAAGAACGGAACGTGTATTTACATAAAAAACTAGTTCATAATATCTAATGTAAAAAATGTTTTGATTTTTCCATGTAGTATGTCTTCTCTTGTTGACTAACAATATTAATGCGAATACAAAAAGACATAGATATGAATACAGTTTCTTCTGCAATCTGAAGCATCAAATGTTACAATTGAATATTAGAAGAAGTATGGAGTGCAATTTGACGAAATCAAAACAATTAACAAATATTTTAAGTTTGTAACTTTTTTTTAAAAGTATTTCTTCTTCCTACCTTCTAACTATGTCTGACCTTTGTGCTCAAAAATGGCCGATAACAAAAAAGATATAATTGTTTTCCTATATTGAAGATCTTAAAATCTGAATTAACGTCTATACGAATGAATGAAAATACATTTATAAAAATTTATTTTCGTTGATATTTTAAATTTAATACGAAGTTAAGTACAGATTGTAATCGAACTATTCACAGATGTATATCAAATAAAAGAAAGAAATTTATCTTTCGTTAAGTTTCAAATGATAAAAAACGCTTTAGTAGTAGTAGTATAAGGAGTGATGAAGAGTTTGGTACAAATGTGCTTATCTTCGACCCTGTATTAAATATTTATCTTGACATGTAATACTTTGTGAAGAGATTATATTCATGTTTACCATATTAAATAATGTTGCAAATGATTTCTTACTGCGAAATTGAATAGCTTACTCCAGTGCGATTTAACAGTAATGCCAGGAGACCAATATTTATTATTAAAAAAAATGCGTTTGAATTCTGTAGCATAAATTCCAATGTAATATTACATAAGCAAGGAACATATTTTCATTTAAAACTAGATCTTTTTCCTAGGCTGTAACGATAGCATCTAGAGACAGAAATTCACCTGTGGCCGTCTATCTGTAGCATGATTAAAATGATCTAGTGATAAATAAGATGTGAATGGTGACGTAACAACTATGGTCTATATAACTTTCTAGCGAGTACAGTTTGAATGATCGTATTATAAATATGGCTAATATGGATCATCTAGTCAGTATGACTTAAGGTGATTGCATGTCGTAACGTTCATGAACAGCACTGATTAAATAAGATCAGTATGATGGAATTGACAGTTCAATGACGTACAAATATGTATATAGTGGCTGTCAAAATTATTGAATCAGTAGATTATTTTATTTTATCTATAGCTCATAAACTAGATGAGCTAGATGCATCTGATTTTTATCGGATTACAAGTTATAGTCTCTAGTATACTAGTAAAAAAAACTTCAGATCAATCCATAGATCTATTTAGTTATTATTAACGATACAATTGTAAAATGCTGTTTTTTTTTTTCAAAATTATCCAACTACTTATTTTTGCAAGCTGTTGCATGCCTGTTCTAAGTTGAAATTTTCTTTATGACACATGATTCAATAGAAGAATTTGTACTCTATATAACGAGCACGTTTTATTTTAGCGTTTCTTTGAGTATAGGTCATAAAACAATGATTTTTCTAACCTATCTCAAAAATTTTGAACAAAAAGTGGCTTTTGCTACTTTTTTTTAATATGATTATAATATGTTGGAATATCGTGTTAGTCATTTTCCTATATATAGACTAATCACAGATAGACTTTATTCTACAGTCTCATTCACACATTGAAGAAGATATAAAAAATTGTTTTAAAAGCGTTGATTTTTAGGGACTCGGTTGTCATACAGAACTTCTTAAGTTATATAATTTTGTTAAATTATCAATAGCAGGAATAAAAACCTTACCGTAGTCTCAACAACAGACTGAGCATGTATTTCATCAAACAAAGATGTGTCAAATGATAATTAACATAGCGCGTTGTTGTAAATTTCATTCTCTATTTACATAGATGCAGCACGTGAAAACTAGCTATATATTCAATGAGATATCCACTTGGACTGTTGCTGAGACTATCGTAAGATTTTTATTCCTGCTATTGATAATTTAACAAAATTATATAACTTAAGAAGTTCTATACAGAAAAAGGTTCCTTACAAATCCATGCTATCGAAACAATTTTTTATATCTACTTCAATGTGTGAATGAGACCATACAATAATTCATGCTATTTGTAGTACTCTTGTTAGTGATATATTGAACAATCAAATTGTTTAAACATCATATGAAAAAGTATCTTTTGTCGCCTTTTTGTACAAAATTTTCGAGATATATTAAAAAAAAACATTGTTTTTTGACTTATACTCAAAGAAAAACAATAATAAAAAGTGCTCCTTATGTAGAGTGCAATTTCTTCTATTGAATCATGTGTCATAAGGAAAATTTCAATTTAGAACAGGCATGCAACAGCTTGCAAAAATAAATGATTGAATAATTTTGAAAAGACAAAAAAAAACAGCATATTGCGATTGTGTCGTTAATAAAAACTAAATAGATATATATGGATTGATCTGAAGTTTATTTTACTAGTATACTAGAAACTATGAACCGTAGTCTAATTTTCATCAGATCATTCTAGTTCATCTAGTTTGTGAGACATATACAACTGGATATCTCAATCTGAATGGAATTTATGTATTTTTAAGTACTCATAGTGATGAGATAAATATACAAAATTTGGTGTTGTTGTCTAATTATATGGGTGCCATTTGTGCGTCTGAAAATAAAAAATGAAATTTTTATGACAAAAAAAGAGACAATCAGTTCGTCAAAGCTTCGGCTATATAATATCGATGCTCGGAATTAATTTTTATAATCGTGTATAATATACTTGTCGTGTTATTTATTGCATTTGTCTACAATTTTCGTTAATCCATCTTTATAACTACATACGACTATATTCGTATGTCTATTCTGTCAGTCTAAGATTAAGTGAATTGGTACACAATAAAAACTATTTGTTGAACAAATAATCAAAAAATTATTAGTCTTCTGTCAATAATTTTTATAACAAATCTTAACCATTCCTCCGAAGCAGGGCGATAAATGAGAAGAACAATTTGAAATGATAATTAACATAATTATATTTTACAATTTTCAAATCCTAAATTTAAATTTTGTATCTCAATTAGAAACTGAAGAAGAAAAGAGTATAAAAGATTGAGTATTAGCCTAAACTCACAAAAAACAAGCACAAAGGTTGCGGTAAAGTCGTAACTATTTATCTATACATCAATACTCTTAGTGAATCCTGATGAGTTCTATGATTTCCAGAATTTCCTGCACTTCCTTGAGACCAACACTTATTATTCTTTAGATAATTATTGTCATAAAAAAAAGTTTAAAAAAATTCATGATTTTCATGACATTGACTTCAAAAATATGAAAAAATAGGCGGTATGTCAGATGATGAAACGAACATTAATATTAGTGCATTTCATTGTCATGGATTAAAACTATCATGGTAATCAAACAAATACAATGAGTTTGATGTTAAATCAAAACCATAAATTTACTCCGATGAAGATGCTCATTTTCATTAATGACATTGATGCATCTGTTAAAATCAATATCCGTTTCATTATAATAATGGCGTTTTTTTTTTAAGTCCCTGAATAAGATTTAATATCGACTACTATATCCTTTACATTGAAAAGTTTCTTTGGCAAACAGAGAAATATATTGAATTGAATTGAATTGAATTTTCTATTATAACAAAAATTGATGTTGTCATTTTGTTTTTATTATTTGCTTTCAAAATATCATCCTTTTTTTTTTGGATGAAAACCTTTCTTCTTTTGAAATTTACATTACATTTCTTACTCCAAGATTCTTACAGTATTTCAAATAGTTTTACTATGACACAACTATCAATAAAATATTCATTAAAATGAACAATATTTTAATGATATAAAAAAACACTTTATCTACTTATTCAAAGTATCATAATTCACATCAATTTAAATTCATTCAGTCATTCATTCAGTAAATTGCTTGTATATGCATATGTATTAATCGTCTCACAAATCGATTCTTTCTTTTTTTTTTTGAAACCTTATCGTATCAAATTTTAGTAATATGTGCAATGTTCATATATGCTTCATTATAACTTCAATTGAGCGGCAATGTCATGTCAATTCTATACAATATCTAATGATATATTTCTTTTATTAGACGAAGAAAAAAAATATATCCGTAGATCATATATATTTTTATCGTCTGTCCAAGATCAGATCAACCTGTTTGTATTTGTCCTTCTTTTCGTGCTTTGAATAACGTCAAAGATATATATATATGTATATGTATATCTATCATCTATCAAGACAATTATTGAAAGGGAGGAGGAGAAAGGTAGAGAAGGAGAAACGAATCGTCATCGCCTTTTTCTTCTTTTACCTATCACGATTGTTGCTTGTTCAAGTTTATTCTATTCATACATGTGTAATGTGATGATGGTCATTTATTTCCTCTATACTCACAAACAAACTATCATCAATCTATTTGAATAGTAAAAGACAAGAAAAGATACATATATTTAGACATCTGCAATAAATATATCAACTTTAATTTTTAGCACTTATCATTAAATAGAAAGAAAAAAATCAAATTCAATTGTAATTTTATTACAGCAAAAAAAAAGAACCAGTTTAGGCAAGTACATATAACAATCATTCACTAAATGATAATATTTCACACTTGACCGAAAATAAATTATAATTCAAAATTTTAACATAATTGAAATAAATAAATAAAAAAAAAAAAGAAAACTACATTAAATCGATATTTAAAAAAAAAACAATTCCTAGAAATATACATGTTTTTAATATTCATCTCTTCTTTTCTTTTTAGTATGTCTACATTTCAAAAATTATTTAATCGTTTTCTTGGTCAATTTGAAGGATCTTATGAGCCAAATATAAATTCTAAAAGTTCAAGTAATTCAAATCTAACAACATTTCAACGTAGTCGATCACTATCAAAAGTAATTAATACACGTCGACAACGTTCATTTGAAGTGTTTAAAAGTGGTTCATCTTGTTTATCATGTGGTATTAATGAACATGATCAACCAGTATCAATCAATAATATTGATAAACTTGTATCAATATCACCAAAACAAGAATATAATTTTGAAACAAAATCTTTAGTTAATCATAATAATGAAAATTCTTTTTCACAACAACATCAACAACAAATTCGACAAAAAAGACGAGCAAAAACAAAATTAATTATAATACGTCATGGAGAACGTGTTGATGCTTTATTTGGTGATAGTTGGTTTCAACAAGCATTTGATGGAACAGGAAATTATCGACGTTTTCATACAAATTTACCAATTAGTTTACCATATAGACAAAATTTTCAAGATTATCGTTACGATCCACCATTAACTGAACTTGGTTTAATACGTTCATTTAGAACAGGTTTTATATTATTCTTTTTCTTTTTGTTTTTTTTTTTTCTAAATCATTATTTATTTTATTTTCTTTCATTATAGGTGAAGCACTTTATCGTACAGGTCTTCGTATTGATTATTGTTATTCATCTCCATCATTACGTTGTGTTCAAACAGCTGATTCTATTCTTGATGGAATGAAATTACGTACATTAGTACCAATACGTATTGAATTAGGTCTATTTGAATGTGGTTTATGGCATAAAAGTATTATACCACATTTTATGTCAATCAATGAACTTGTTCTTAATCGTTTAAATATTGAAACATCATATAACAGTATACAAAAATCTTTATCAACAGATGAAAATGAACATGATTATTATGAACGATCATATACAATAATGCGTGAAATCTTATCAAAACATGATACAAATGATATGAGTATATTATTTATTGGTCATGCACCATCATTAGAAACTTTAACAAGACAATTAATTGGTGCACAACCAAGACCTAATGAATTAACACAAATAGCACAAAAAATCAATTATCTTTCATTGACAATACTCGAAGGACAAAGAAATTCATGGACATTTGTGGATGCTATACTTGCCAAACAATTTTGATGAATAGTTTCTTTTTCTTTTCTTTTCTTTTTTTTCAATGTACAAAGAAAACAAAAATGAAGGATTGAGAGTGATTATGTGTAAATAAAAGCGATAGGTGAATAACATAAGCTTGAGAAAACAATAATTAATGGGCTTTTTTGTTTCATGTTTATAATGAACGTAGTAGTATCTGTTTAAATAATTGTGTTCGATGTTTTTTTTTCAAAATATATATAGATATATATAGATATATATATGTTTTATAAATATGTATTTAAATGAATTTGACCTTTCATCGTAATTAAAATTGATACATGATAATTCGAATATAACATGTTTTTATTTTCATGCATCTCATTATAATTTATTAAATTATAATGAAATTTGCGTGACATTCATATTTAATGTCATTGATTAGAAATAAATCGAAATTTTTGTTTAATTAAAATATCAACAAGAAAATAGAAGATAACGATCAAAATAGTAATCAATTAAATATGAGAAGGTCATCTATCAATCATTATAGTTTGCAAAAGAAAAAAATACACGAAATACAACAAGTATATTTTGATGATGTCAATATCATTTGTGATAAGAAAATTATTTCTGAAAATATGAATCAATTATGATGATAGAAATCAATTTGTGATTAAACGTTCTTGTTAGTTATATGAATATTAGACTACCTAATTAATCATATGAAGATGTGAAAGGTAATTTGATTTCAATAGTAGTATCCGTCAAATTAGCAATTATTTTGATAAACTAGGTAAATGAGTTTAAATATGTTGACTACTAAATAATCCGCTAAGATTGGTTAAAGTACAATAATCAATAAAACAATGATTAAGATTCAACAAAGAATTCCAAGGGTAAATTCTTTTCGAATAGTGGGTACTATGTCTACAACATTGAGAAGAATTCTTTCTTAGTCTTATGTACTATCTCTATTTACATAGTTATGTGCATTGTTTCTACTGATTATACAACAATAGTGTAATGATCTATCCTATTTCTACTATACCACCTTGACAAGAGTTATGCATTGATTTCAACGATCTTATACCTTTTTTTTTTTGGGAGTATATGTGATGAACACTTCTTTAGAAGATAAATATTTTAAGTATTAGAGTAGATTCAATTGATGATGAACTCTTATTAAAGCAAGCAAATAGTAATGAATTTAGAAAAGATTGACTGCAGACGGACTATCCTATTAAATGTTTGCATTAGTTGAAAAGATTTGTTAAATATATATCTATTCTTGAAAAATGTGTACAATGGCATGCTTCTAATTATTCTTCTTGCTCAGTAACTGATTATGAAATGGTTTTATTTGCATATTTTGGAAAACTTTCCTGATACATTTTAATTTTAGGTCAGCTCATATTGGGATTACAGACAAGTCTCAGTTAGACTAGAAAAAGTTCGTCAAGATATTAAATTTCCAAAAATAGTTCTTTGTCACAAAAATCAAGTTCACTTAAAAATTCAATACCTTAACGAAAGAACATTCTTTTCGACTGAAACTTTCAGGATACTCGACGACAAAGACCAATGAGAACGAAACCTTTTAGACTTTTTCTAGTTTCACTGAGACTTTCCCATGAATCCAATATGAACTCAATTGGCTGGTGTCACTTGGAGTAGTTCTCTCATAACCCTATTTATGCATTTGAACGTTCTACTCAGACTCTTAATTAATCTTCATATAAGTGATTCCTCTCGCCGCTTCTTTTTTTTTTGTTTGTTACTGTCTTTCCATTTTTCTATATGTTTTATTAGTGTCCGACTGTCATCAGTGATCGTAAAGGATAAAAAAAAATAATAATTACCTATCATTTGTGACAATATATGTCGAAGAAATATATATTTCCTAATAACAAAACTCAAGTTCGAATAACTATAAAAAAGCAAAATAACGCAAACAAGAACAAGAAAAAAAACATGTGTAATAGATTTGATCAAAAAGGTTTTGAATTATCATTGATTTGATTATTCATCATTTGTAATGGTTGTTGTGATTGTGCTTCAGCTTGTTCATGCATATCCATCATTTTTTTTGCTTGTATGTCTGCAAAATTCATTGCCATTCGTTGATTATAATTAACATATTTTGATGTACAATGAGTTATACAATCAATCTAAATGCAAAAGAAAGAGATTATTATCGATCATTGAAATATATATTTCTTTTTACTACTATTAATACAAGTGAAAAGTCATTTATTGCACCAATTAGAATAAGTGATTTTTTTGTGAGAAAACAAAAATTCATTTTAAATATAATTTTTTAAACCTACCTCATCATCAACTAAATATCGATAGTTGAATGTATAAATACATCGATGAAAACATTCTTCAACAATTCGATTGTATGTTTCAAGAAATTCACGAAACTATTATAATAGTATTAAGATCAATTTAAAGAAATACTAAAGAATTTCATTATATATAACTTACAATCTGTTCTTGAGAGGACATGTATTCTTTTAATATATCTAGATTTTTGGAAATAAATTAATAAATAAATATATTCATCATAATTATTTTTCTTTTAAAACATTATAATTTTGATGTTTAAAAAAAAACAAAAATTTCAACAGAAAAAATTTTTAAAAACAAAACAAATATAAAAGAATAAATATAATTAACTATTGCATTCTATTCTTTACCGGAAATTTTTAAATTTATCAAACGACTTGTTGTATATTGATTAGAAAAAATACAAGATGTAGATCCATTTGCTTGAATATGAGACAAATGGCCAGCATTTGGTGTTATATTCCAACCAAGTGTTAATGTTACATTATTCGATCTATTTAAAAAGAAAGAAGATGTCAAATTTTAACAATGAAAAACTTAAATAAACAAACCATAGATGTTCTTCATCATCTCAAAAGTTATATTTTGTTGCCATATCATGCATATTAATACGTGCATTATCACCACGTTGAATTATTTTATCCCATAGAACTACTTGATTAAGACTCTAAATTAATTATAACAGATTTTAGTATACAACTCGAATGAACGAATATTTTTTTTCCAAAAAAAAAACAACTTTTTTATTATCCGACTACAATGAATAATATTTCTGGTCTTTTTGGTTTTAATCATTTGTGTTTTGAATGATTGTCTATATGACAAAACAAATCTTGTATAAAGAATAAAAAAATTAGTTTTCTATTTAGTATCTTTCGTTTTTGGCAAGGAGGAACAATCTGATTTCTATGCTAGAAATCACATTGTTCCCTTCTTGGTTTCTAGTAAAGAAACATTTTCTATTTAAAAACATGACTTGTTTTTCTATTGAAATCAAACGTGAGTATAGGACAAATTTTTGTCAGTTGTGCATGTTGTGCTGTTCTGACTTGCCTTGTGCAACAAGACAGATAAGGTTTTTTCTTGTTGATTTTTTAAAAATTATTAACGAATCAATTTTTGGTTTACATCTATTAATTCTTAAGCTTAGATATTCATCGAGTTAGTTTAATTTTATTTTTCATCAAACTTGTAATCATTACTGTCATTCAACTATACTCCTCTACTTTTGTTTAAATATCGAAAATGTCTTATCCAGTTCCATTAAATAGTTTAGTCATAAACTTTTAATCAACAATTCATTTATTTCATTATAAAGTTGATAAGACTCTGCAACGAATTAATGTCTTGTTCTGTTGTGCAGCAGATATAAGAAAAATTTTAGTCCTATTATATCCTTTGCATAACTCTGATTCGAATATTTTTTAAAATTCTAAATGAAATTTATACTCACATTTACTCGTGTAATCTATTCTGCAATTAAATATAAAAATAATTCTTTAATATTCCAATCAAATAATGAATTAAGATCTAAAATTTTTCGTAAAAACAAAATTTAATTTTCATTTTATTTAATAAACAACTACACATATCTAAATCAAGTTGTAATATACCTAAATCATTTTTCTTTCGATTAACCAAAAAATCAATCATATGTTTTCTACATTTAAGAAAAAGAAAAAACAAAAAAAGAACAGAAGCAATTCATTTTTATAATAAAATAAATAATTCTTCTATGTACACAATAGACTTATTTGCAGTAGTTCTAAGAGTTTCATGATATTGTTTAAAATATGTTGAAAGAAATACACCAATTGTAAGCACAGCAAAAACAATTACTGTAAAAGCAAATAGATTATTTAATCGATTTATGAATGTATGCATTAGATGTTTATCTACAAACATAAGTGTTGTCCGCTTTTGTTTAGTTTTACATAATAAACACACCGAGAGGAAGTATAACAGAAGAAAAAAAAATATATAAGACTAGTACAAAAATGAGAACGAGAAGTTATAAGAAAAAAAAAATTATAAATCGAAATGGAGTGTTTAATAGAGTATGAAATATATACGTATAAAAATATATGTTAGTATCCAAATTGAGATTACATCGAATGAAGTGGAAAATTTATGTTAAAAATTGAATTAGTCTGTAGATCAAGGTTAGAGTTGAATTCTAATTGATTCGTTCAGATTAAACAATGACATTTCAGATAATACAATCATTAATTGATTAAGTAAGTTTAAATTCGTAAATTTAATGCAAGATATTATACGCAAGAACAGTTTCAAAGGAAAAATTATCCATCATAACTTTTCGAATCTTTACTCAATTTATTCATTGATAATTGTATTACTTGAAATATTATTGTTTCATAAGAATGAATTGATAAGATTCCATATTCGATATCAATCTACAGACAAATTCAACTTTTAATATAAATTTTTTTCCGTCAATTCGACATTGAACGTATCCAATTTCGAATTCAAGATTGAATGTAATTTCAATTTCAGAATGCTAACATATATGTTGTCAATTATTTTGAGAAATTAACTATCTTTTATTAGTTGCTAAGAGTTCATCACAAATATTTGTCAATTCAGTATTTTCTTTTTTCTAAACAAAAAAATAAAAATAAAAAAATAAATATTTTTCTTTATGTAGAAAACTTTTATTTTTACCTTCTGTTCTAATTCTTGTTTAACAGATTTTAATTCTTGTTCAAGTGATTGTACACGTAATTGTGCATAACGTAATTGTGTTTGTATTCCTTCGATTTCTGATACATGTGTTTGTCTTAATCGTTCAATTTCATTATTAGCTCTACAGCGAAATTTAAGAACAATGAAATAGTTTGTCTTTGTTTTAATTAATTTATGTATATATATACTCATTTAATTTTTCTTGTGCATGTTGTTTAAGTACCGCATATTTTTGTTTTTGTTCTTCTGTATAACGAACAGATTCTTCTGAAAAACGTTTTAATGTTTCTGTATTCTAAAAATAAGAAATTTTGTTTTTTAATTTAAAAACAAATAAAAATTAAAGTTTATTTTTTATTTATTTTTACAAACCGTTTTATGTTCATTGATAATTAATTTAAGTTTTTCATTTCGTTTTTTAACATCGGCATAAGCATTTTCAGCATTGATCAAATCTTCACTCATTTGATCACGTTCACTTTTAACATGTCGTAATTCTTGTTTTAATTCTTCTGTACATTCACATACACGATAAAGTATTCGATAATATTGTTCAACACATTCACTAAATGGACGTAAAAGATGTTCATCAATTTGATTAGTTTTAGAATTTTTTTGTTCGCGTTTTGCTGAAGAAAAATGTTCTGTTAATTCTTGAGCATTAATTGTTGGTTCTGTATGCTCGATTAATGAACGAAATAATGAAGATTTTTCCATTGGATTATCATTAGACATAATAAGACTTTTTATCATATCTGTTTCTGCTGTTGGTTGAAAAATTTTTTTTTCAGCATTCATAAAATCAGTTAACGACCTTGTATTAATATCTTTTATTCGATATTCATCATCTTCATGAAATGATGATGTTGTTGATGAAACACTCGGTAATAACGATAATTTTTGTCGTAAATTTAGAGGATCGTCATCAACATCAGACGATGTCGACATGATGTATTATGAATGGAGAGAAAAAAAATGTGGAGGACTACTATTGCAAGCAATAATGATGTGCCAACGTATGGGCATTGAGAACAGAAAAAAAAAAAAAAAACTTTGTTTTTTTCTTCTCTCGAGGACGCATCGATTGGTAAAAAAAAGCACAGAAGAACAAGAGCAACAATAGGCGACACTCTGACTCTTACATGATTCGTGTGGGATCCATAAGTGGTTGTTGTGAAGATGAAGTTGCTGTAGTTGGTCGAGAAGTTACAGTAGCACCATGTGATACGGACGAAAAGTTGGGTGGTGATTTTTTATTAGATAAATCTGGTGGGACATCTTCGACAGCCTATAAAAATTAATATTTAATCTTTTAAAAATCTTCTGTAATAAATAAAGGCATACTACATTGAAACTATTATCGGTGGTCATTGTTGATATTTTTCGTCTTTCTTTCTTCTTTAAAACATATGTATTTGTATCGAATGTTTTATCGGTAGAAGATGTTTGTATTGAAGGTTCTTAGAACAAAAGAAAAGAAAAAAGGAATATAAAGTTTGTTTAATGAGAGAATAGCTTTTTAATAGAATACCTTGTTCTTCTAATGTCTTATTAACATTCAATTTCATATTTTTTGTCAATGCCGTTACCGTTTCAATAGAATTTGATGGTGAAGGTTGAACATTTTCTTGTGGTTGTGGTATTTCATATGGATATTCAACTGTAGAAATTAATTGATAGATAAAAAGTAATTTATTTTTTTATTGTTTATTTTTACATACGAGAGAATTGATTCGATAAAGGTGATTTGGCACTTGTAGGTGTATCGATATCACTAACTATTGTAATCAAATTCAAATCTTCTAGATATGAATAAAATTATTGTAAGAAAAAAAAAAAAAAATGAAATCGTACCGGGAGGTTTTTCGCTAAATTCATCATTATAAATTGGTAATTCGACTGTTGTATCAAGTATATTGGTATTTAGAGCCTACAAAAACCAAAAAAAGAATCACTAAACAAATATTCTACAAATTCGTTTTCAATATCAATTACAATGAATTTTTTCTCTTTCATATGATTAAAAAACAAAAAAACAATAAAATCACTTACACTATTATCTGATATTGAATCGGCTGCAGAAATATCATCATCTTTAGTTTGTGGTAAAATATCAAATGATTTATTTAATTCGGGATTTCTAGAAAAATAATTTAAATTAAATCTACTTATTGTTTGAACATTATTTTGTTTTTTTTTACCCTGGACGTAAAACATCCTCATTATCTTGTTCATTATGATTTTCATTCTCAATTGTATGTAACGTTGGTGATATATCTCCATTGATTTTTGTTGAAGCTGATTTTAGAATTTCATCATCAACATCAATGTCCATTGGAATATTATTTTGATTCAATATAAATGAACTATTATTTTCATCATGAACATCTAATGATGCTGACTGAAATTCAATTGTATTTTCATCTGTCATTGTCTATAAAATAATTATAAAAACAAAAAAAACTAAAAAGATTAAAGAGAGCAAGAGATACACTCATATGCTTGACTTTGTTTTTTTTTCATGTTCTTGTTTAAAAACCAGTTTCAGTTTTTTTTTTGTTTTCAATGCTGATTATAATATAAAAAAAAGTGAAACGAAACAAAAAAAAAAAAGAGAGAGAGAGAGACTGACAGAGAAAACATGCATACGCTCGAGATATAATAATAGCAACAGAAATCATAATGTGACAATACACACACAAAAAAAAACAAACATAGAATCACACATGTGATACAAGAGGGACCATTATGATATCGTCACCAGAAAAAGAAAATAAAACAATAACAACAAACAAACAATCGCACATCAGAAATAAAAAAAGCGTTATGTGTATATGCGTGGACTTTCTTTTAAATAATGAAAAGAGAATTCACAAAGACAAAGACTCGTTTGTTTCTAGGTTTTTTTTTTGTTTACAGATCAAGGATAGATAAATGAATGAATGAATGAATGCTTGTTAAGCTCCCTAATCATATATGTTAGGTTCAATTAAATGAAAAAAAGCACAGAAGGAGAAGGGAAGCATTTACAAAGAGTAAATAAATAAGCACGAACCTGTGAATGCTTTAGCAAGAGAAACAGATAACAAATAAGGTGAATACTATACGAAAGAAAGAGAGAGAGAGAGAGAGAGAGAGAGAGAGAGAGAGCGAGGGCAAGAAAACAACGGACACATTCAAGCGAAAGAACAATGAATAAGTATTAACAGAGAAAAAGACGTAGTTGTTAGTTTGTTTGTTTTTCGTCTCGAAAGAAACAATCAAATAAAAAATAGAAGAAGAATAAGATATAAGATCCTCACTGTAAACATATGCGTAGGCGATACAATATTACTATCCGAATGTTAACAATTAATTGCTTATACTTTTTTTTTTCTCTCTCTCTCTCTCATTCTTTTTTGATATTTATATATATATGCAAATTTAATCAACATTGACCATAGAATTATTTTCTTGTTTTTCTTCTTCACTTGTCAATTGTTGTTCATCATATTTACTACTTATTAAACTTTCTGTACTTGTACTACGTTCACGTTCATCATCTTTTGTAACTAGCATTATAGGTGCATCAGCAATACAACATCGTCGAATTTCTTGTGTTGATAATGATTCATCTTGTTGTTGTTGTTGTTGTTGATTATCATCCATTGATGTTGTTGTTGAATCAATAATACTTGTATCATTTGAATCTTTACTTGGTGTTGATGAAGAATTTATTGTTGTATCAATATTTGTATGATTAGTATTATTAATATTTCCATTTTCGATACGTCTACTTGTCTGTTGAAAAGATGATAAACCATTTGTATGATAATGATTATTTGAACGTGAAATAGATGTTAATGTTGGTGGACACATATATAATGTACCGGCAGAATTAAATGGAAATGGTGGAGCTTCTGGCATCATTATACATTCATCCATTGTTGGAGAATAGTAATGTGTACGTGAAGGAAAACAAACATTAGTCGCAAGAATATTTAAATCATGTGGTGATGCAGTTATTGGTGGAGCATATTGATACTATAAAACGAGAAGAAGATCATTGATAATTTATTTTGTTTTTAATTATGAATTTTCATCTAAGTATAATTCTATACTAGATTATACTATTCAACTAATTTTCTCGTATATCTATAATGTAGAAATTGCATTTTATGATTTAAATACTATTTCGTCATTCGTATGATTTTTCTACCCGATGATTAATGAGGCAAAATGATTTTTATAAATCGAATGGAAAATATTTATTTCATAAGTATCACTTCGAATGTTTCTGTGTTAACCACATTCTATGTTGCACGTTTGTTTGCACTACTGCCAATGGCACTTATAACTTTCGCTTCCAACTGTAAACGATTTTAGAAAATTTTTTCTATCTAAATTCAAATTAACCGAGAAGAAAATAGTTTCAGAATATATTTTACTAATAAATATTTTTTGTAGCGGCATCTATAATAAAAACTTATCTCATAACTGAAGCGGATTTAGGTTCTGTAGCTAGTACAAGCGGTTCAGACGCGTCAATAATATTAGGGTACATCGAAAACGACTCGACTTCGTCGGTTTTAACAAACTTTCAAAAATATCCATCGGTTTTGATACTTTCAAAAAAGATCGCCAATATAAATCACACTGTAATGATCGATATACTGACTGTAGTGATCACATGAAATGATACTTGTCGTATGTAGACTTCAATCTATTGCGTTATAACTAAACCTTAAATCATCAAGGATGAGACGACCAAGAAGAGTTTTCTTTTTGTTTTATAATGTTCTTTTAACCTGTGGATAAGGAATAAAAGAATGAAACTCTCAAACTTACATATTGTTGATCACGTGGTATTATTTTCAATTCACTAAAGTGTAATTTATCGTAATTATTATAATCACGAAATAAAACAACACAATAAGGAGGTTGAATATGAACAATAGTAGCGACATAATACTATTAGAAAATAAATAAATAATTATTATTTTTATAATCATAATTTTTAATATATACTTCTTGATCTTCACTCCATCGAGCTAAACAAATATCACCTATTCTCCAACGTATTCGTAAATTCTATAAAAAGAAATTAAAATTCAATAAAAAAAAATTCTTTTTGTTTTTTTGAAACATACTGGATTTACAACTCGACGTTTATCTTCATGTTGTTCAGCAATAACTTGTTGAGAATTATTATTTTCATCATTTGATGATGATGACGATGACGATGATGATGATGATGATGATGAAATTGCTTTTTGTTCGATTGACGAAGATTGAGATTTATTTTCATTATTATTATTATTTTCATCTTGTTGAGATTCATTTGTTGGTTTTATTTCATTTTCATCAACGAATGAATTTGTTTGTAAAACAGATGAACTATTATTAGAAGTTTTTGAATCATCATTTAAACCATTCGTAGTGACTGTTGATGGAAGATAAGTTGGAGTTACATACGAAGTTCTATAACAAAATGTTAAATGATCATTTGTATATCCAGGACCCATTGATGATTGTTGACTATGAAATGGAGGACTTGAAATACCAGCAAGACTATATGTTAAATGACCCTAATTGAAAAACAGATATCAAAATATAAAAAGAATGATTTGAATTTTTTTTTTCTTTAGATTTTAATACCGGATTAGCTGGAAAATAAGCAAGATGAGCTGGAGTTGAGCCAATTGCAGGTGCAAGTATATTCCCATGTGGTGCATAGGAATTGAGCGTAGTTGTATGTGGTTGACCAGTAGATGAATTATGAGGAATATAGGACATCGGATCTCCACGTCGTGAATATGATGATGAGGAAGACAATGAATTATTATTTATTGTGCTATTACGATAATTACCATTTATTTCACTTCCATTTAATGATGTTGATTCATCATAATAACGATTTGTATTCCGACGAGTACGTTCTTCTTGAGCACGTTGAAGTCTAATATAAA